CCGCACACCTTACTGCCAGAGTACCGGACTGTACACCTTACAGCCAGAGTACCGGGCCGCACGCCTTACAGCCAGAGTACCGGACTGTACACCTTACTGCCAGAGTACCGGGCCGCACGCCTTACAGCCAGAGTACCGGGCTGCAAACCCTACAGCCAGAGTACCGGGCCGCACACCTTACAACCAGAGTACCGGGCCGCACACCTTACTGCCAGAGTACCGGGCTGCACACCTTACTGCCATCGCATAGAGACACTCGCATGCATGCGCTGACATGCTTGCGTATGTAGTGCACATTTGTGTTTCGTAAAATTGCAAAATGAAAACTAGGCTCCCTTTTGCCACATATGGTAGTAACTCAGTAATAAAAACAAAACTATGCTGTAACTTGTTTATAATGGTCTATTAATGATTTACAAAGAATAACAGTATAATTAATAACCTGATTATAAACCATTCATAAACCCTTTATAAGAATAGTCTTATTGTAAAGTAATAATAATAATAATGAAATTACTTTGTGCTGTAGGTGCAAGTTATTCTGGGTAATTTTCCAGCAACTCTTCTGCGTATGTAATTGAACCCAGTTAAGCTGCGATTTTCATAGGTAGCAGTTACAGCCCCTGAAGAGCCTTTGAGATGGAGATGACCTCCTAATGAGCATTGGCCATGCAAAGACCACCAATGAAGAGGCATAGAGCAGATGGAAGAAAACACACATTGTTGGAGTCACCAGAAGCCCTGAACCAGCACGCATCCTCCGACAGCTTCTCAGCTCTCGGTAAGAATGCATATCTTTAGTAATTGCATAATTCTGCAACTGTGCCATCCTAGGGACAACGTTTGTCAAGTGTTTGTTAAATTGCTGAACACATTTAGAATTGGGGAAAAAATTGTCCAGTTCCCTTAAAATTATTAGTATAATATATGCAGCCAATGGCAGCTTGTCCATTGCGAAACACGCCCTCACAGAAGCCAGTCCTGCTTTACTAAGTTTAAAGTTTCATTCCGTAGCTCCGAGTTAAATTATCATTACTAATTCTGAAGAGAGACCCATGAAGTAAACTAAAGAGGAGAAGACAGGGGCTCCAAAGATAATCTAATGAGTCGAAGGCCTATAAGTGGGACTCTGGCTGAGACCATCATTAGTCGGGGGGGGGACAATGGTTTATTTCACTATCTGTCCAGCCTGCCTGGGAAGTCTCCTGTTTCCGTAATGAAAGTGAGCTGTTGGCAGTAGGGGGGGGCAGTGGGGGCGCCAAGGTGCAGACTGTTCCTCCCAAGGTAGTAATTATTCACGAGACACTAATTATGCTTAAAATGATTTATTTCCGGCACCTAATCCTATTCCCCCTTATTGGTTGCTTACAGAAAGGACGCGGCCTATTTTGCTATTTGGCAAACTGTGCCCTTATTATGGAACATTTCTTTGGCACAATGCATCTCCACTGGCTGGATCCAGCACCAGACCCAAGCTCTCGATAAGGCGTGTTCAGTACGCCTTCAGTTTATTATGTTTCCTGGGCCAGATGCTTGGTTGAAGATTACCAATGCAGACAGGATAGCTTCTAGATGCTGACTAATGCAGATCCAGACCTCCACAATCATCACGATACGCAGCTTCTCCCGATAATTCTTCCGTCTGCTTGCATTCTCTAGAACTTTGTTACCAGAGGGCCAACAAAAGACTCTACAGAACGACACAATCCATTATTTTGTTCCTAAATCTGCTCCGGTCTCCCGTTCCAATCTAACCCTTTTTCCTGTCTTGCTTCTTTAATGTCGTCCCGTAGCATCTGACTGATGACCGCATGTCAGCCAATCAGACGGACTCCAACGAGGTCCCCGTAAACGAAGACAAAAAAGACTACAACACCCGGCCCCCCAACACCCGCCACAGTCCATTGACAGTCGTCTGAAACCGCAAGCACACTAATCAGCATAAAACTGCGTGACACAACCCCCAACTGGCCTCTTTCTCGCAATTTACAGCCCCCCTCCACTATTGTCCAGGAATGTTCCTGTTCTCCTGCAGTCAGGGAGTGAAGAATGCCTTCATTCTCTCCCCAGCTATGCGGGAATTATGCCACAGAGGATTAGTAAATAAATACACAGCTTAAAAGGCTAATGCCCAAACACATATATGCTAATTATCTGTGCAGATGCCACTTTCACAGTTTCACTTTGTGCTGAAGCTATCAAGAGGCTGTTTGTAGGATGTGGCAAAACCCTTGTTTTTGCTGACAGCTGTAGATATACGTAGATGCATATTTCAGATCACATAATGGGATGAAGGCTGGAAAGGGCAAAGATCAGGCAAAATACCAGCATATGCATTTTTAAAACGTATTTTAAACAAGTAAAGTAAAAATCTTCCTAACCTTGGGAAACGCTTTTCAAAATGAGCAGTATTTTCAAAATCATTTTTATTAACAGAAATCGATATTACACTAGAAGACGTATGGTAGTACCTCTATACCATGTAAGTACATTTATTGACATCGATGTCTGTCTGTTTCTCCACCTGAAGTACTTTTTTTTTAAAATCACAATAAAAACCGCTCCTTAAAGCTTTTGCGGCATTAATTGCTTAGAAGAAGATATATTTATTGAAAGGAGGTGTATTTGAAGGGTTTGACTGCGCAGACCGATAAATGCCATTTTCAACTTCGGTTTCCAAGTTGGAATTTTATTATAGTTTATTATAGTTTGCAGAAAAAAATTCAAAGCTGTGTTTGCCAGAAAGAGGGATAAATCGCATTTTAACGAAATAATATGTATAAATCTAATGTGGGGAAGCAAAAGTTGCCAAAGTCACAGTGAAACACTTCATCTATTGTTTATGTGTTTTTTCAAGGTCTATGTTCCTCTAATTATTCCAGGACTAGAGGAGCTTAACGAGTATTTTTAATGTAGAATGGAGGTCTCTCACCTTAGTTTTCAGGCAAAAAGTGCTTTAATCCACAGCCATTTCCATTAGAAGGCCGACATGACTCACAGCGGCTTAACAGCCTGGTCCTCAGGAAAACTCCTTTGTCTTGATTGAAGCTAAATTGACTTTGGTCGACATGCATTAATAAGACTTTGGAATTCCACTCAATGGCGGGCAGAGTTGCTTTATTTTCTTTTAAACCAACAGGCAGAGTGTTAATCAGAAAGGCAGTGACCAGAACTGTCAGGTGAGCCACAAGCCAAAGGACAAGGACTCAGATTAGGTGTGAGAAACACCAGGAATCTGGAGGAATGGTGAAGAGCAGCTAATAAGCAGGGAATCATCTGCCTGAGCATATCTGTTATTTTTTTAATATAATTTGACAAACAAAAACTGTAATTGATAAATAATAAATATAAGCATGTATAGTAAATCATACACTAGCAATATCTTTAGTTTCTTTGGCTGCCTAAAAAGTATGTCACCGATTCACTGTTATAACACTTGTTTTGTTATGATAAGCAATGGAATGTGAACTACAATTAAATAGGATCTTGCATTTTTTACTGCATCCATGGCTGTCTGGAAGTTTGAAAAGATCAAGTTTTGATCTCTGTGTCACTGCAGTTTTCCTTGATCTTTAAAGCATTCGTATTGCATATACATACGTTCCTAACAGAAGACCGAAAATGTTTGTCTTTTCCTTGGACCAACCGTGGCGACTTAGCAGATAATAACCATTTAGTGTCCTGCTTGTATAATAGCAAACGCAGCTATACAACAACAGGAAATATAGATTCTTTCTTAGGTATAGTGCAATTATGAACCACCATTGCAAAAAGTGTGTGAAAACATATCGTGAGTCAGCGTTCAATGGTGATCGATTCGCACCCTAGGCTTTCATAATGACGGCTCATTTTAGTTCCTGAATTTAGCTTAAAAACATGATTAAAAGTCGCTTTGATACCCTGATTGATGCAATGTAGCATTTATCAATTAAATTTGCCTTGAAATTGCCATCAAACTGCAAGTTCGGGACTGTTGTGAAACTGACATGTAATCACTTCTATTCTATGGCTTACAGCATTCAAAACATAACTTTTGTACAAAAAGTACAGTATGTTGCATTCTGTTGACCTTCAACATGCATTCAATAGAAAAATTATAAAATTAATAATAATAATAGATACTGTATTATTCCCATGGGGAAATTGTCTTTACGCTTCCCTCAACTTGCCCTTTGTAGAGTAAGTTGTCTGTGAAGGGCAGCCACCTGTAGCGGCACCCAGGGAGCTGGGGGTTAAGGGCCTTGCTCAAGTACCTGTAAACGTGCTGAGGCTGGGTTTGAACTGATGACCTTCTGATTATAGGCACACAGGCTTGGCCCACTGAGCCACACGCTACCCCCAAAGTTAACATAAAGACACAAACTATATGCACAAATTACATCTGAAAAAACACATTGTATTGTTGCTATTTTGTTTGCAGGAGACTGCACAGTAAATTGAAATTAATTACTGCATATTAAGTCAGTTTATATCTACTGATTTAAATTCTCTGTGTGCTGTTTCTTTAGAAAGCGATCGAGCTAACGATTTGGCCGTTACAACTCTTTCCTTTTACTGCTTTAGATGACCATAACATGACTTATTTTTAGTGGTCTGTAATGCACAATATAAACGTAAACAACAAAGCCTTTCAACTTTTGGTTACATTTATAAACATTTAAGTGAAACATGTAAAAATGCGTCATATCGAGTTACATAGCAACCTGACGGCGATACAGCTTTAAAACCATTTTTTGCCCAATCATTTCATATCTTGCGCAGTCAACAGTTGATTCCATTTGTTAGCCCCAAGTAACTGTCCGGTTCCGTCCGCTGGCAATTTTTTAGCTTGTCTAACCAATTACCACGGAAACGCAACTTAATTCAATTTCCCGTAATGTAATAATAACCGGCTCGGGAGCTGGCGAGCCCCATAAAGCGCGGTGCGTACTGACCGTACCTTCACAGCGCTTCCGGACTCAGCTGTTGCTCACGTTGGCAGCCTAGCAACTCATTTGCCAGACAGCATTGATCCTTATACAACTCCATCCACAAATGTTCATTACCACATCGATTTTAGAACTTCACAGCCAATTGCCTGTGACCGGCATCTAAGACAGCGTGGCTATTAAAAATAATTGTATTTCTATAATTCTTACTAACTGAATGACATATGGATTCAAAGACTCGATCGATTAAATTTAAATAAGGTGTAATCATATTATACAGGGGGAAAAAGTATTCTCAATTAAAAATATTAAAATGAACGGATGCGTTGAAAGAAATATACCAGACATGTGATTATTGTTCATGATCAAGCTGGGTGATACATTTCCTTTGTTGTGCTCAGTTCTCAGGAAGGATGAGTGAGAGCATTTTAGAATCTATGTGCAGTGTTTGCTGTTCATAACTGCAGGTGATTCTGGGTCACATGACCCACATGTGACTTATTGGTATCCTTCCATTGCTTTGATGTTCTCCCTGAGCGACGTCACACCGTGAAAATACCGTCTCGACATGTGGGGTTAATCCGTGTTCCGAACATGTTGGGGGTGCAGTGGCAGGGACCTTATTTAACAGCGGGGGTGGGGGTGGTTTAAGAGGACTGGGGAGAGGAGCAAACACAAAATACAGATTCAGAAGAAGGAAAATATGTAAGAAGCTGGGCCTGAGACAATAACAGGAGCCTTTTATATAAGTCATGCAGCACAAGTAAATGGATCATTACCTGCTTTTACTTCTATCACAGAGATTCTCATGATCATCTACAATGAGTGTGTTAGATGAGACTTTCCTTCAAAGTGATGTATGTTTTTAAGAAGAGAGGGAGGCTGAGCCAGTCTCTGGAGCAAGCATTGCACTGGGGCCCAATGGGGATATGAGTCAGGGATTTAAACCAGCAACCTACTGATTACAGGTACAGCATCAGAACCAGCTGAGTCACTCCTCACATTCCTAATGTTTTAAACCACCCCCCCCCCCCCCCTGCCCAGTTCAGTTTTTCTATCCTTGATAATGACCACCAAACGGACAAAAACAGGTATTAGAAAATTGGATCTCTAAATTCTGTAGCTGCAGGCATACACAAACGTGTGCTTTACTAGTGATTTACTACAGGCGATTCAGAGACACCAGTTTAGCCTAACAATCGGCACATGGGAGGTGAGATTCAGACGCCCAGGCATGAGCCAGTGTGACACCCAGAACCAGCACATGCAGCATGATGCCACAGTGGACAGCATTGGTGCCTCACACCTCTGGGTCCTGGGTTCGAGTCTCTGCCCTGGCTCCATGCGTGTGGAGTTTGCATGTTCTCCCCATGTCATCATAGGATTTCCTCTGGGTACTCCAATTCCCCCCCCACCATCCAGAAACACGCTGAGGAAAATTGGAGCTACCAAATTGCCTGTAGGTGTATGTGTGCCCTGTGATGGGTTGGCGCCCCATCCTGGGTTGTTCCCTGCCTTGTGCCCTGTGATGGGTTGTTGCCCCATCCTGGGTTGTTCCCTGCCTTGTGCCCTGTGATGGGTTGTTGCCCCATCCTGGGTTGTTCCCTGCCTCGCGCCTGTAGCCTCTGGGACGAGCCTGAACAGGACAAGCGGGTATCGAAGATGGATGATTAGTACGACATATTTTCGGAACTTCTCAGAATTAAATACTTTAGAGACTCTGAAAACTTTATTGCTTCTGTAATAAACCTCTAACTTCAAGGAGTTCAAGGACAAAGACGGCCGGTATAATATGAGTTGATTTGCCGCCGTAGAATAATCATGCCCGAATCCTTATGTCGTCAATGGCTTGGAAGCCGCAACAAAGCAGTCGTAACGTATCTAACTGCCAGTAATGCTGTGTTTCAGAAAGAAAGAAAAAAGCATGGCATGCATTTCCAGGAAGACTCTCTCTATTCCAGCTACGCTTTACAATGTGGTCAGAAGTATAAAGGGTCATCTTTGCAATTCAGTCAAAATTGATATTATAAATTTTGCACTGGAAGTCAGAATACATATTTATTAGTTTTAAATTACATTGCATCAGTGTATTTTAGACCCATTATTTCAATCTGTGGATAATAATTCTATTCTAAAGTGCATGCATTGAATGCACCCTACTGTACGTACCTAAATCCATTCATTATCCATTTATATATATATATATACATATATATATTTTTGAGCATTTCTATGTCATATTTGTGAGTGGACTCTGAATTCTAGTAAGAGACTTGAAAAATAATGGCCTTATGGAAGCGGAAAACATGTGTATTCTTGTGAAATCTAAATCTAAAATTTGCCATTCATGAAGACGCCGTCTTGCCAGAAATATTAACGCTAGC